TCTAAACTTGGCAGCGCATTCCCCATATTGCACGTAACCTGTGATGATGCGATGCTTGCATGCTTCATCTGGGAGCGTACCAGTTGAACGTTGGGTGTGCAACAGTTGGTACGTGGCTACTTAGACTTTCCTCCATGTTCTCTGCCGGTGGGAAGCCATACGATTGGAGAACGGCTCCTGGCCCGGCCGGAGTTCCGAAGAGGAACATGAGAGCTCTAAGGCTAACCCTTGGACTCCGGCGGCGGCGGTCCAATTACAACGTGACAAAAGTTCGTATGTGAGATCACAATAGTCATGAGCCGCTGTTTGAGCAACCGATTTAAGTAGCCCATAGGCCCTCACGGTGGTCTCCGTCCTTTTTTTATCGATTTTGTTAGCCTTGCTGTAGTAAAAGTCACAGATCTTACGGTGACGTTCATACACATGTTTTGGGCTGCCGCGCTGTGTCAGTACTCTGCAGTTTCAAAATACTTCATACGTACAAGAAGTGATCGCGGTGATAGAAAATGAAAGGAACTTTGATGTACTGACCGTGACTTCAGCATCCTTATCGTTTTGATTCGATAAAGACTTCATTTCGTAGCTTTGGCTCAATTTATAGATGAGTACTGGCGTTTGACATAATATGTAATATCCAAGGGTGAATATTCAGATTGAGAAAACCGGCCTCCGCGAGTTACGCCGAACGTTACTGAATGGACTCTCCGAAGATCTCGAATCCCAGCCACTCAATCATAATGTGCGCTCAACTCTCATTGGGATCGGGAATTTCCTGCTTTATTCGCGAGGAAAGGTTTGTATTGTGCGATGGTTTTAACGAATCTGTACTTTCAAGTTTCTTCCGAGTTTATTGTCGGAGTTTTTCCTTTAAGTTCGCAGACCAATTGGTCCCTCTGCTTATCAAGACGTTGGCAACTCTCCCACAAATGAAGTGGGTCGACGATGGTCTGCTTAACAAAAAAGATAGTAAGTGGCTTTTTCAAATAGTCTATATTTAATGTTGTGTGCAAAATGCTATCAGTTTAGGAGTCCCTGTACAGGAACAATTTGCTTTCTGCTTCAATACTGTTCTGTCTGATCTCGCTGCACATTTACCTGCTCATCGTAATGCCAATCGTTAGCGCACAGGTCCTTTTTTATACTCATTTAATTATCTAAAACCTTACAAAACTTTTGCAGGGCACCTGCTGCCAAAAAACGGCAGTTTTGTTTATCTTTCATAGTTTCAGATCGCTGCTGCTTGCGCGTGACTTCAAATCCTCGAAAAATTGGAGGATATCATGAGATTCGGTCACACAAAATGTAAATTAGTTATTGTGTTTGTGGGTTTGGGTTGTTCGGGATTTTCTTGGTATCTCTGGATCCATCCTGAACTTTGTTCATTCGTTTCCAGTCATCCCTTATCCGATCTCTCTTTTTCTGGACGTTCTTTTTTTTTTCAAATCGCCATCGTGTTTCCAACAAATTATGCAAATCGTGTGATTTCAGCTCATCTTCTGAGACTCACATGTTATGTTATGGGGTTACTTCGGTCATTGGGGCGATATTCAGCAAGCCCCGACAGGCCTCTAATCTCATACGTATTTCCGGTCGAATTCCAGATGCCAATTGAAGGGACGTTGGCAACGCCAGAAGGAGTATTTTTGAGTTCTATGGGCGTTGGTGGCTTGTTCATAATGTTTATTTTTTCTCTTTTCTGAGAAAGTGATAGAAATTTTGAATTGATCCTGAACCCTTCAAGTATATAATAGTTTTGTCAGCTTGCTGCGTAAATGGAGAACGTGGGCTATCTCAAGTGATCTGAAGATGGTTCCAAGTGGACTCTCGCAGTTACACCCTACGTTTACTAGGACCGCGCCACATACTCATTGTTTTTGGGAAGCTGGGAACTGTAGAAACAATGTGTTTCCCATATGGGAACATAGGTGAGCAAAAGATCACGAGATAGGGGACTTAAGAGATTTGCTCAGAATCCCTGGATTCATATTGATTAGGAAGTGAATGGCATATCTCAGGTTGGAGATCACTATATCTCCAATCTCCGATCTCCCATTCCACTCATACACTCATAAAGTCAATACGCATCTTGTGACATGTTCTGGCTATGGATTGTCCGTACGGATCGTTAATTCAGCGTTTGTGGTTAGAGGAATTGCTAAGCTCTTTTCAGTGGGATCGCATGTTCTCACCCATTTGGGATCGGGAAAAGGAGCACTCACTTGTGTCACTTTTGGTGAAAGGCACGTCTGCTGATCTCTGTGTGCACGTAATTCGCCACATTTTCTCATCATTGTGGTCCACAAATTAATGTTCTTATGATAGCATTACCGCTCTCTCTCATCCTGTCCCATCTCTCTCTCTCTCTCTCCTTCTCTCTCGTACCCTCAGTCTCTCTCTCTCTCTGGCTGTAAGTCTTTTTCTTATCGATAACTTACTGGTTTTGACTCAGTGTTTTGCCTTAAGCTCGGATATACCTCGAATAAGCTCTGATGATGCGTGGGCATGGCTGGATGGAGGATCTGTGCCCACAGAAAAGGAGACTACAACGAGTAGCGTGCAGCGCCTAGTTAAACTCTACAACAAATTCGGAGCAAGTTTTGTTGGTACTCACACCGAAACGAAGGACGGCATCCAGTTTCTCCTGAATAATAAGGAGCTGGAGTCTCTATTCGACACGGTTAGTCTTTTTGAAATTTTCAAATCAGGTGGAATATTGAATTAAAGGCGAACTGTTTTAGGTGCAGCAACTACTCTCAAAAAGATGTGCTCACGCAGTTGGACAATCACGCTACCGACGTGTATACGGTACTTTTTATTTTTGTTTGTTTGTTTGTCTACGAACGGTATTTAGTTTGAAGTAATCAGCTACACGCATGGTTTAGGGTGCACATATCAAACGCTTTCCATACAAGACAGTGAGTGAGACCCTCACGTTGACGTGCTTGTCATTGCTGCGGGAGGTACTGCGACCGTTTTCGGTGCTCAACAAGGATTGTTCTGTTAAGGAGAATTTCGCTAAGGAGGTTAGCTATTCAGCTACGCGCTTAGTAGCCTGATCTCAGCAAAGTATGAGACTTCTAGCTGAATGCGTTCGTTGTTCATCTACTGGGTTTGCTGGAAACTCAACGACAATCACTCGGAGAACGTCGAACGACGCCATCGAGCGTAGCACGACGTCCGACAGATCTGGAGCTACCACGCCATAGCATTTCGACTCCTGGCCGCCGCATGTGCACTTGAATTGATAGTGTGGGCTGCCGTTGATGATATCGGTACCTCTATTTCGTGTTTTTTTTTCAGTGAATTTGCATGGATAAAGTAATTTATGCAGATTCTGATGCGGTTTGTTCAACGATGTCCGCTCGTCTATTCACCATCAACACGAATCGGGTGCAACTGTCACAACTGCCGCTAGCTCTTCGAGCGCTGTCATCGCTTGGAGGTTGAAAGTTTACATTAAATCTCTGTAGTTTTCGCTGTTATTTCAAGGATTTGCCTCATAGGGCTTGCGGAGAAATTTCCTTCTGTGGCGACTGCCACTGTGGTTCCAATTTTGTCTCGCTTTCTCCTCGAACCGGCACCAATTCTGGCCAAGTTGTCATCGGAAACTGTACGTCTCCTACAACACATTTTCATTTGTTAAATCTCTAGAACAATGTACTTTCAGTCTTCTGAGAGGAAAAATGAAGAGCGACGTCAAGAAGAAACAGCAGCTAAGAGGAAGGCAGCCCTCGATGCTCTACGTAACGCCGCTATCGATGCTTTGTGCAGGTAACTCCTCCTTTCTTTTCCATTTCAGTTTCCATAGGTGAGCTAAGACGCATGGCTTATCAGCCTCACAAGACGACCGCCAGCTCGTTGGGATATGACTTGGGCGAATCGGCGTCAGCCAGCTGCGTCTAGCCTTCCCTCTTGTCAGCGTTAATAGCCACTTCGTTTGCCGATCGTGTCTCCTTCGGCTAATGCCCGAAGGCTTAGTGCTCTGTAAAGTCTGTTTGCCCCGTCCAGATCCTCAACTTCTGGGAGGAAGAACGGCTCATTTATCGACATGTTTGAACCGATGATTTTTTTTCTTATTTGTGCCGCTGCAAGTGACACGCTCCTCTTATTTGACATAATTGAGGCAGAGCCAGCGCATCTTATCTTGATCGGGTGTGTGCCTTTAAGAGATGGAGCAGATCCCTAGAAGCGGCACTGCTCGACTGTCAAATGTCTGCAAATTTATAGCTGAAGTCCAAAAACATTGACAAGTGACGCTATCCAAAACCTTATTGCGCTGTAGTAGCACTGTTTTCAAGTTTTATTCGTTTGTTTACTGAAATACGCTTAATTTGACCTTTATGAAGAAATATTTCTAGTAACCATTCCAGGGCTTTGAAGTCTTCCCTGAGTGTGGATGCGGATAGTGTGCAGGCGTGTCTCGCCAGCCTTTCATCCAAGCTCTTCGTTTGCTCCAGCGCAAATAATTTGTAAGTTCGTTTTCACATAATGATTATAGGCGCTGTTTTTGTATATTCTTCTGTTTTTACTATGCAGTGTGTGATTACTTTAACACTACCTAACTGTGCAGTCGGATTCAATTGCAATCTACAATATTTTGTGGAAATAATGAGAAGAACGATTTTGCAGCAGTTCTTCACTAATTTGTCCTTATAATGGGAAAGTTCAGGAAGCAGCAGAGCCTAGAAAATTTAATTAGAAAAAACTGAAACGTAGCCTTTATGGTGTGACACCAGCACTATGCATGGGAAACGCAGCGTGGGGTTTGATTCTTGCCTAAGGCGGTGCTTTGCCCATAGTTAAGCATCGTTGTGTCCAATTGAATTCGACTGTAAAGGTTCGAAATTTAACGCTTGTTTCATTTTATTTGCAGAAATTTCCACACGGCAGACCGGTGAGTTTTCATCATGAATAAAAAATTGCAAGCAGGCATCATAATGTTTGAATTTGTTATAAGCGAGCTATGTAGATGTCACTAATCTCTAGAATATTATTCTCCATGCATGTAGATGCTTATACAGTTAACCTGCACGGATTCATTGTTGTAAAGCATGGGTTTGACTATACTGTAGGGCGATGCTCTTAATTTAATGAAATGAGAGTATTGAACATTTTTGAGCCTCTTCCTTATTCTTCAGTGTTTTGTCCCACTTTGCAGAGGGTATCGTTCCCGGTATGTTGACACCACTTTCTCCGATACAAGGCTTGGTCGGGGTGGATGTTAACTAATCTTCAAGTCTCGTGCAACGTATCGAGCCAGCGCTGCTTCGGGCGTCCTTTAGGCCGCTTTCCGGACACGTCAAGGTTGAGGCCGATCTTACGGACACTGTCGTCATTCGCGCGAAGAACGTGATTATACCATCGAAGCCGAGCTTCGATGTTACGGACATGTTCCTCGCGCGCATTACATGAAC